ACAGTGAGAGAGAGAGACAGAGAGAAAGGTCTTCCTTTGCCGTTGGTTCACCCTCCAATGGCCACTGTGGCTGGCGTGCTGTGGTTGGCGTGCTGCGGCCAGCGCACTGAGCTGATCCGAAGCCAGGAGCCAGGTGCTTTTCCTGGTCTCCCATGGGGTGCAGGGCCCAAGCACTTGGGCCATCCTCCACTGCACTCCCAGGCCATAGCAGAGAGCTGGACTGGAAGAGGAGCAACCAGGACAGAATCTGGTGTCCTGACCGGGACTAGAACCTGGTGTGCGGGCGCCGCAGGCGGAGGATTAGCCTATTGAACCTCGGCACTGGCCCCAAACATCTAATTTTCAATTTTCCCTCATTGTCTTATCAACAATATTTATAATACATGTTTTTTTAACTTTTAAATTTATTTTTATTTTAAATCATTGTCTATATTGGTGTCTTTTTAAAAAAGGTTTATTTATTTGAAAAGCAGAGTTACAGAGAGAGAGAGAGGGAGAAAGAGAGTTCTTCCATCTGCTGGTTCACTCCCTACATGGCTGTAAGAGCTGGGGCTGGGAAAAGAAAAGCCAGGAGCCAGGAGCTTCATCCAGGTCTCCAACATGGGCCATCCTCAGCTGCTTTTCCAGTCCACAGAAGAGAGCTGGATCGGAAGTGGAGTAGCCGGGACTCACACTGGTGTCCATATGGGATGCCAGCACTGTAGGCGGCGGCTTTACCTGCTATGCCACAGCGCTGGCCCCAGTACATGTGTTTTTAAAAATTGAGATCTACTGTCTTAGAGGCCTTTATCTTTTAATTAGCCTTGTTTCTAACCGACATGATTAATGTTGTGGTAGAGGCCTTCCCAAGGTCAGAAGCAGAAAAAGGAAGAATCTGTCCTGGGAATGAAATGCGGTTGTTTTCTGCTTGCCGATGAATGCTTGAACTGCAGTCTCTATCTGCCTACATGTACCCATTCAGGTTCTGCTTGTTAGTATAGAGCAATGGTGTTAACCCTTGCCTGACAGTAATGGCTCAGTATGTGTGTAAAAAATATATCTTCAGGTAACTACATTCCCATGCACAGTATTGCATCAATCCTGTGGCTGTCAGGTAACATTAGAATATCCAATTAAATGTATGCATGTTACCATATATGGGAGAAAAAGAGGCTAAAGCCATGTATAACGAAATACCCCTCTTTGTTTTGGGCTCAGGTTTTTTTTTTTTTTTTTTGACAGGCAGAGTGGACAGTGAGAAAGAGAGACAGAGAGAAAGGTCTTCCTTTGCCGTTGGTTCACCCTCCAATGGCCGCCACGGCCGGCGCACCCCGCTGATCCGATGGCAGGAGCCAGGTGCTTTTCCTGGTCTCCCATGGGGTGCAGGGCCCAAGCACTTGGGCCATCCTCCACTGCACTCCCTGGCCACAGCAGAGAGCTGGCCTGGAAGAGGGGCAACCGGGACAGAATCCGGCGCCCCAACTGGGACTAGAACCTGGTGTGCCGGCGCCGCTAGGCGGAGGATTAGCCTAGTGAGCCGCGGCGCCGGCGTGGGCTCAGGTTTTTGTGTAAAAATTCCACCTGGGACTTATGCTGTCAAAAATAATAAAAGACTACTTGTTAAAACGCCATGGTGTCTTGTCTCTATACACAAATCCTGTTACACTACTAATTGATTAGACAGTTAAAAATAGGGGCCTACACTCTGAAGGGAGGAGAGAACCTCCACTTTGACTATGACCTTGTCTAAACAAGATGAGAGTCAGAGAACTCAAGGGGCTTCCATAGCCTTGGAAACTCATGACTGGTGCATAGGGAGATGCCATAAACAGGAGTGTCAATTTGTAAAGTCAACAACAGGAGTCACTGTGCACTTACTCCTCATGTAGGATCTCTGTCCTTAATGTGCTGTACATTGAGACTTAATGCTATAACGAGTACTCAAACAGTATATTTCACTTTGTGTTTCTATGGGGGTGCAAACTGTTTAAATCTTTACTTAATGTATACTAAACTGATCTTCTGTAAAAAAAAAAAAAAAAAAAAGAAGAAGAAATTATCAATTCCCAACTTGACTCTCACTGGGATTAAACATGACAATAGGTCTGATCTGATTTCATCATCATTTAAAAAATCATTTATTATTTTTCACTTTATGTTTCTGTGTGGGAGCAAACTGTTGAAATCTTTACTTAATGTATGCTAAACTGATCTTCTGTATATAAAAGAGAATCGAAAATGAATCCTCATGTGAATGGAAGGGGAGAGGGAGTGGGAAAGGGGAGGGCGTGGGTGGGAGGGACGTTATGGGGGGGAAGCCATTGTAATCCATAAGCCGTACTTTGGAAATTTATATTCATTAAATAAAAGTTAAAAAAAAACTTACAGATAATAAAATTTATTGTTATAATTTTGATGTCATAAAATTATTATAATGTCACAGTGTAAACCTTGCATTCTCATGTCATAATCAAATGTGATGTCACAAACTAACTGTAATTATGGGTGATTCTGTTGTCATGAAATATATTGTGACAACATAATCATTATGTAATAAAATTACAATGATATAAATAACTAGTGTGATGTACTAAACATTCAATTGTGATGTTATAAACCAATCATTGTACAGTCATAATAAATTGTGATGTCATAAAAGCAAAAAAAAAGGGGCCTACATTTATTATAATTAATTTAATATGAAATATTTTATAAGTAGGCCTCAGAATCCATCCTGATTCTATATAGGAAAATTATTTCTATTTATATGCCTTTTTTTAAAAAAGATTTATTTATTTATTTGAAAGCCAGAGTTACAGAGAAGAGACGCAGAGAGAGAGAGAGAGAAATGAGATCTTCCATCTGCTGGTTCACTTCTCAAATGGCTGTATCAGCCAAGGCTGGGACAGGCCAAAGCCAGGGGCCAGGAGCTTCTTCTGAGTCTCCCATGGGGGTGCAGGGGCCCAATCACTTGGCCCATCTTCTGCTGCTTTCCCAGGCACATTAGCAGGGAGCTGGATCAGAAGTGGAGCAGCCAGGGCTCAACTAGTGCCCATGTGGAATGCTGGCTTTGCAGGCAGCAGCCCAACCTGCTATGCCACAATGCTAGCTCCCTCTGCTCCCCATTTATGTTTTAATCAGCCATCTATTACATGTGTTACTAGTCCTGGTGATTTTTGCATAATTCTAAAGAGCTTTCTGATTATGCATCTGCTAGTTACACTGATTTTTGATTCTTTACTTCAAGGTTTTATGCTCTCCTTTTTCTCATGTTAAATGAAGCACAATGACCTGACTTTGAGCAGCATAAGTTGTGACAGCACTTATGTGACAGCATAAGTTGTGAGCACTCTGCCCTCACCCTGAGATTTTTTTTTTTAAAAGATTTATCTATTTATTTAAAAGGCAGGGTTACAGAGAGAGAGAGGCAGAAAGAGAGGGAGGGAGGTGGGGGGGGGAGAGGGAGAGGGAGAGAGAGAGAGAGAGAGAGGTCTTCCATTTGCTGGTCCATTCCCCATATGGCTGCAATAGCCAGAGCTGTGCCGATCTGAAGCCAGGAGCAGGAGCTTCTTCCATGTCTCCCACGTGGGTACAGGGGCCGAAGTGCTTGTGCTATCTTCCACTGCCTTCCAGGCAATAGCAGAGAGCTGGATTGGAAATGGAGCAGCTGGGACTTGAACAGGTGCCCACATAGGATGCTGGCACTGCAGGCAGTAGCTCTACCTGCTACTCCACAGCACCGGCCCCTCACCCTGAATTTTAAGCAGGGATTACCTAAGGTGTCATTTCAGCCTCTAGGGAAAAGCTGCCCAGGGATGGGCCTGATTCACCTTTCCTGTACTGTCTACCTCAGGACAAGGAGCAGAGATCCCCCCTGTACTGTAAATGTGAAGCCACTCAAAGTTTCCTGGATTCTTTTTCCCTGTGTATTCTTTGAGGAGCCAGCGAATATACCAAACAATGGAGACAGGAGAAGTTAAAGGGTATATTTATATACAGGGTAACCAGATGCAGTAACGGAAGAGATCTTAAAAATTTTACTTATTATTTTAGTCATTTGAAAGGCAGACACACACACGAAGGGAGGGAGCAGGAGAGAGAGGGAGAGAGGAGAGGAGAGGGAAAGGAGGAAAAGGAGGGAGAGAGAGAGAGTGCAAGAGTGAGAGGGAGCCAGCTCTCCCACCCACTGACCCATTCCCCAAATACCCAGCAACAGCTGTGACCAGTCCAAGCCAAAGCCAGGAGCTGGGATGCCAACCGGGTCTCCCATGTGGCTGGGACTCAAGTATTTGAACCATCATCTACTAACTCCTATGCTGTACATTAACAGGAAGCTGTAATCAGGAGCAGAGTCAGGACTCAAATCCAGGCACTCTGATCTAAGATGTAGGCATCTCAATTGGTATTTTCTTTTTAAACATTTTTTTATTTATTTGAAAGGCAGAGTTACAGAGAGAGGAGGAGAGACAGAGGGAGAGAGAGAAATCGCCCATCCATTGGTTCACTTCCTAAATGGCCACAATGGCAGGGGCTGGACCAGACCCAAGCCAGGAGCCTGGAGCTTCCTCCTGGTCTCCCACATGGGTACAGGTACCCAAACACTTCGGCCATCTTCTGTTGTTTTCCAGGTACATTAGCAGGGAACAGGATCAGAAGGCGAGCAGCAGGATCTTGAATCAGTGCCTATAATGGGAGGCTTAACCTATTATACCACAAGGCCAGCCCCCCAGTTGCTGTCTTAGTGATGGCACCAAATACCTGCCTGAAGGGAAGAACTTTATATAACTGTGATATAAATAGTAGCCTCACTACCAATTCTGTCATGTGAACCATAAAAAGCAAATGGCAAGGAAATCTCACAATGAAAACAATCTATACTTAAAGTGACAGTTACACATGGATGAATGTATTATTAGAATACATGGTGATTTTGTTAGACAAAAAACAAAACCAAAATAATCTTGCACCAATCATAACTTCCAGAAGAATTCTTAGATTTTAGAAAAACAGCCCTATCTTACCTGATAAAAACCAGCTTGACCTTTGATGGGGCTGTTTTAATAATGGCAGAGGCATTTTGGTGACTTCTTCCATACAGGATCTGATTGTTTATCTGTTTGAGAAAAATAAAGTATACTTATAAAACTGCAATATATGTTGTATATAAAAATGTGTATATATAAAAATGTGTATATATTTACATGTTATGTACTTGGACTTAAATGATAAAGTCTATTAGTTTTTAAGGGTGGAGGTCTAGGTAGGACTAAAGCTAAAAATCATTTTTGTAGTTCAGACTCAAACACTGATTCTGAAATGCTATTTAAAATCCTTTAGGGGCCAGAGCTGTGGTGTAGCAGGTAAAGCCGCTGCTTGCAGTGCCGGCATCCCATATGGGTGCTGGTTCAAGTCCTGGCTGCTTCACTTCTGATCCAGCTCTCTGCTATGGTCTGGGAAGGCAGTGGAAGATGGCCCGAGTCCTTGCCCCTGCGCCCACGTGGGAGACCCGGAGGAAGCTCCTGGCTCCTGATCGGCACAGCTCCGGCCATTGTGGCCGTTTGGGGAGTGAACCAGTAGATGGAAGACCTCTCTCTCTGTGATTGATTTTCAAATAAATAAATAAATCTTTAAAAAAATCCTCTAAATTCAGTTTTGACCACATTTAATAAAGAACATACAGTCTTCGACCTTTTAGCTAAACTTTAAGAGAGCAGCAGTTAAGTTCAATACAAAAACTTTACAATAGATATTTTATTTCTGTATCTTTTCCAGATTCCTGAAAAATGTAAAACACAGACTAAACCATGGTATTCTCCAGAGCCTGTTACACATGATGCTGCAAACGTGTCAAGGTTATTACACAGCATAAACGTTTTTACTGTAGGCGACATAAATATTACATCTCTGTTTTAAGTTGAATTTTAGACCAATTACACAGAAACATTTTACTGTATGCAATCAATGAGCCATCTGTTCATATGCAAGACGTGGTGGGATTTTTAACTTGACTGGATTCACCTACATATTATCTAAAAACATTTACTTCTTAAAACTTTTCACTTTAGACTTTCCCATTAATAAGTTATACCGATAGCTAAGATCAACCTCTTGTTTCATGTCATTCAACTGATAATAGTTCATATGGTTTTGGATTTTTCCCCTCCCATCTCTTTAATAATTAATAAGATATGCTCAGCCAGTCCTTCTTTTATTTTATTTTATTTTTTTATTTTTGACAGGCAGAGTGGATAGTGAGAGAGAGAAAGAGAGAGAGAGAGAAGTGTCTTCCTTTGCCGTTGGTTCACCCTCCAATGGCCGCCGCAGCCAGCGCACCGTGCTGATATGATGGCAGGAGCCAGGTACTTATCCTGGTCTCCCATGGGATGCAGGGCCCAAGGACCTGGGCCATCCTCCACTTCACTCCCTGGCCACAGCAGAGAGCTGGCCTGGAAGAGGGGCAACCGGGACAGAATCCAGCGCCCTGACCGGGACTAGAACCCGGTGTTCCAGCACCGGAAGGCGGAGGATTAGCCTAGTGAGTTGCGGCGCCGGCCGGTAAAGTGATCTTAATACTGTTAATAAAATGGTGTCATCTTCCTAAGCCCAGCCTGGCTTACTAGAAGTCAGGTGACCAAATGGCCCAATCACAAGGGTCAGCTCCTCCCCCACCGTAATGGGATTTGCCGCTCCCACTTCCTCACCTCTGCAAAGCTATATAAGACCTGTTCTCCCAGTACAGGCTGCTGTTCTCTGTGCCTGTCGGGTTTCCCCAACCCAACAGTAAATCTTTTCCCTTACTCCAGTGTTTGGTGTGTTTTGTGGTGGCCTTTCCTTTCAAATACTCAAAGAATTTTTTAATTTTTTTGTGTTCAAAACAACTCATCTTCTGTTTTCTGCCTTCAGAATCATGCATGAATTTAAAAATGTGCTCACTCTCTAGATTATGTATCTTCAACTACTTTCATGATTTAATTGTTCTCATATTTATATATTATTACCTAATTTAGTTATAAAGGAAATGGTTAAGGAAATCATGTAGTCATTAAGAATAATGTGAAAAAGCATATTTAATGAAAGGAAATGTGGAAAATGTATTAAGTGGCAAAATCAGGTTACAAAATACTATTTTGCCTAGCAGGATCATATTTTTGCTAGCTATATTTTCAAGTCTCTTTAATTTACAATGAACTAAAAAGGAGGAACTTTAAAACCATATTCTAAAATGAGACAGCATGTGGGATGGGCCCAGCATTCAGAAATTGTTACCTGCCACGTGCCTGCCTCTAGTTCTAGAAAGCCCAGATGATCTAACCCAACTGTCTTGAACTCTATGGCACCAAGCTTAAAAAATTTCTCTTGGGTTGGCCTTGTGGTTCAGTGGGGTATGCCACTGCCTGCCCCACAAGCATCCCATATCAGAGCACTGGTTTGAGTGCTGGCTCCCTGCTAAAGTGCCTGGGAAGGCAGCAGAAGATGGCCCAAGTATTGGAAGACCTGGAAGGAGCTCCTGGCTCCTGGCTCCTGCTTGGCCCAGCCTTGGCCACTGTATCCATTTGGGGAGTGAACTAGTAGATGACATCTTTCTCTCTCACTGTCTCCTACCCTCTGTAACTGCCTTTCAAACAAATAGGTAAAAATTTAAGAAAAATTTTTTGTTACTGCAACCACATCCCAGCATAAGGTGGTAAGCATTGGTGCAGGCCCAACATCTGCTGAACCGAGCTAAACTCCTTGAGGGCAGGAACTGGTACTCTCCTCTTGGCTTTGCTCTGCTTGCACACAGTGGAACTCAATGAGGACATGATGAATTGCAGAGCTCTAAGTGCAAGTGACACTTCATCAACTGCAAGTACAGTGTCCTTGACATAGGCTCCAGGCTTCACAGTGATTGAGGCTAAAAAATGCTTTTAGATCAGCAAGTGCTTGAGCATATAGAAAATTGAACTGTTTCATGGTTATGGACATGCCTGCTGTTTAGCTGTGGTCCTCCACTTTGACAGCACAGAATATATGGCACTATTATTCTAAGAGGGAAAATTATATCCCAAATGAAAAAAACACACCATTAATTTTAATTTACCTAAGAGTAAAGCTAAAGCCAGGGCATTCATGGCACTGTCTAAAAACTCAGAGGCTCTGGCAGTAGGAAAGCGAAGCAGCTTGCTTGCTGTTGATGTTTTTTCCAGTGCCAACAACAATGGTGTTTACTATGAAGGCAGCTGCTCCCTGCCAACACTCAGAGGCCCTTGGAGAGACTATGCTATGCAGGAAAACAGGGACCAGAGAAAGAAACTCAAGATGGAGGAAAACCTGATTTTTCCAGATTAAATCTAAAAGGAAAGTCTATGACAAAAAGCCTTCCTCTCCTTAAAAATGACACGGTAGTGGCCGCTGAGGTTCAAGAGCAGGAGCTCCTCTTCTGTGCTTTCTTAGTTCTACTTCAACATAAAATGATTTCATGTTCCCAGGAGGAGCGTGGGGGTATGAGACGGGAGCCCAATCAGAATGTTACTTGAGGAAATATCTGTGTAAATAATGAAGCTAAAAATAGGTCAAGACATGGGTTGAGAAAGCTTTTAATCACCAAGAACCAGGAAAAAAAATTTTCAAAATGAATTTGTCTGTATGTGCATTTAAAACACACTTGGAGTACCCACATCCCGCACTGGAGTACCTGGGATCCAGTTCTGGCCCACCTTCTGATTCTCCCTTCCTGATAATGCAAACAGAGGCACTAAGTGATAGCTCAAGTATTTGGGTCCCTGCCTGCCCTGTGGGAGACCCAAACAGACTTCCCAAGTCCCAGCTTCAGCCTGACCCAACCCCAGCCGTTGCAGGCGTTTGAGAAATGAACGTACAGAGGAGATCACTCAGCCTCTCTCTCTGCCTTCTGAACACATAACAAAGTAAATAATTCTTTAATGCATTTGTCATGAAGAAAAAAATTTTTTCACTGTGAAAATGAAAGGTTTATAGGGCTTCCAACCACACAAGAAGTTTTTATGTCTACACATCACATGAAACACTCCAGAGAAAATTCAGTAATTAGGGTGACTACAATACATTTTACACACAATTAACTTTGGAGGTCTACTTATTCGATTACTAAGAAGCTGCTGCTTTCTGAGAGTATGCAACTTTAAACAACAGACATACAAGGGTCTTCCAAGGGTAGCACAGGCAAAAAAGAAAGTATTCTACACCTCTTTCAAATTAATTACTGTTAACAATGGCCACCACGTAACTGGGTGTTGATTCTATGCAGGATACTATGCAGGACTCCTTTTTTTTTTTTTTCCCCTAGAGCAGAGCTAGCAAGCTTGCTTCCTTCTTTCGTTCTGATTTATTTATTTATTTGAATGTCAGAGTTACAGAGAGATGGAGAGACAGAGAGAGGGGTCTTACATCTGCTGGTTCACATCTCAAGTGACCGCAATGACCAGGGCTGAGCCAGGATCCAGGAGCTTCTTCTGGGTCTCCCGTGTGGGTGGCAGGGGCCCAAGCACTTGGGCCATCCTCTGCAGCTTTCCCAGGTGCATTAGCAGGGAGCTGCATCAGAAGTGGAATAGCAGTAGCCGGCCCCTATATAGGACTCCTTATGCACAGTATCACTGAAATCTCAGACAAGCTGGGAATGGATATACTTTCATGAGATTAAGAACCTGAAATTCACACAGTTGAGTAATTTGCCCAAAGTGATTTAGCTATTAGTTTTAGAAACCTATAATCCTGAGGCACAACTAGTAGTCACATTATCTGTATGGTATGCACAAAAAAAAATCAGATGTTTTCTGAAGATCTTTGTAAAAGATGTCTGTTAAATAAATGCTGAGCAGGGGCCGGCGCCTAGCGGCGCCGGCACACCAGGTTCTAGTCCCGGTCGGGGCGCCGGATTCTGTCCCGGTTGCCCCTCTTCCAGGCCAGCTCTCTGCTGTGGCCAGGGAGTGCAGTGGAGGATGGCCCAGGTGCTTGGGTCCTGCACCCCATGGGAGACCAGGAAAAGCACCTGGCTCCTGGCTCCTGCCATCGGATCAGCGCGGTGCGCCGGCCGCGGCGGCCATTGGAGGGTGAACCAACGGCAAAGGAAGACCTTTCTCTCTGTCTCTCTCTCTC